CAAAAACATCAAAATTAGCACATAAACAGTACTATATAACATTTTAGACACATTCTAGACAGTTAATCAGCTAAAAAAAAGTTAATTTTGGGCTAAGTTACTCTTTAAACTTCCCCAATTATTGTGAGCAGTTTTATAACTTTTACTTAAGTACTTTTTATCAGTGAAATCAGTTTTTACCCAAGTAACTTTCTGTCGATGTATTTTTCTTTTTTTATTTGTTTTAAGTACTTTCTACACCTCTGTAACCCTACTGTCAAAATATTATTTTACAAAAGAAAATTTGAGAAGGGGGTCTCTGCTGTCATTAAGTAGGAGTTTCTTGTTTTATGGGAGGAGTTTGTCCAAGACATGATTAGTTGGTTGTTTTTATGGGCATAGTTTGTTCAAGACATGATTGGTCAGATTGGTCAGAATGGTGATTACAGGTGAAAGCACCACTTGTTCTGCAGTTACTGTCCTCAGGGAGCAGTAAGTGTTTCTGTGATCCCCTTCCACTTCCTAAGCACAGTCTCACAGCAGCCTCATATAGCAAACCCTGCTTGCAGTCAGAGCATAGAGGAGACCCAGTACTAGGACTCATGCATACATGACTGACAGGTAGTTAAGGATGGGGGTAAATCAATATACAGTACATCAAATTCCCATTTCAAATTTAAAATATTAATATTTGATTACACACAAATTTGAGCTGGCTGTGTTGCCAGTGACGAAGGAAAAGTGGCATTTGTACCCAGAGATTGGCAATACTACACTTTCATGCTGTTTTGTTACTGGCAGAGTAAACTAGCCAGAGATAATCAAAAATGACTGTGTTTTATGCAATTTCTCCATGGTTTTAGTCATTTGAATTTGCATGTTTAGTGCTTAACAGTGCACACGGGGTTGATATGTAGCTTTATTATGAGGGTTTTATCCATTGAATGTTTTCATGTGCTCTGTAAGCTATAAACATCAGTCTTGTCCCTTTAAAATAGTTTTTTTCCCCAATGAGAATAACTTGAATAAATTTGTACACAAGTTTTGTAACTGCTTGGAGAGACACAAGTGCCATTGAAATGTATTTAGCTTGTAAGAAAAATAGATATTTTTAACAGTTTTAATTCAAAACATATATTATTCAATGTTTAAATGAATTATTAAAACCCCATATTAATACCTGGTTTTACTTATATTCATGTCAACCTGTCAGAGGATAACCTGGCTGTCCATAGTTTCAGTGGAAACCATCATTAATTACATCACAGATTTTCATTGCCTATCTGCTACCATTCAGACCTAAGCTTCAAACTGTATTTTGCATGGAGCAATAATGTTTTTGCCTGCCTGTGTGAGCCTGTGTCATTTCTCTTTACCATTAGCAAAATATATCTAAAGCCACTGGAAAAATCTGAATTAAACTTCCTGAAAGTAGTTACAGTATTAGATTAATTAGTTTTTAGAAATACACCTAAAACTGATTGTTTGTTTGTTGTTTACATGTCATAAATGTCATAGTTTATAAACGAAATATTTAACTTACATATTAAATATTTCATCCATCCATCCATCCATCCATCCATCCATCCATTTTCTTCCGCCTATCCGGGGTCAGGTCGCGGGGGCAGCAGCTTCAGAAGGGAGGCCCAGACCTCCCTCTCCCCAGCCACTTCTTCCAGCTCCTCCGGGGGAACCCCAAGGCGTTCCC